TTTTGGTTATTTACATGTGTGAGCTGAGTGTGTTTACATACAAAATGAGCAAAAATTTACAACCAAAATTTGGAGGTTATGTTGAAGTTGACAGAAGTTACCATTTTTACTAGAAAGCGATCCCATACTTTTCAATGTTACTCTCTCGCTCTGAGCGAAGTTTTTCTTTTTTTACAGTTTTACTAGTCCGAGTCCGGGGAATACGGGATTGCACCTATTATGTAGAAAATAATCACAGAAAATATGATAAGTTTCAAGAAACACACAATTTTTTGTTAGAAATCTAGATGCATGGTGGAAAATTTAGAACTGGTTCGGACCTACGTAAAAATGCATGCAGCGGGGGCAATGGACACTTCGTAGGAACTAATGCGTACCACTCATGGTTCTACCTACAGGGTAAGTATGTACTACATATTTACATATTTCATAAACAAATAGAGGATTTGCGGCACTCAGTCAAAGCACTGTGTCCGATCTGTACATCGCTAATATTTTCTGCGCTTTTGTTTTGTTGACTCTTTAGCGTGGGCGTGCTTAATTACGGTGTTAGTGACATGTTAATTGTTTTACAGCACGTTCAATTGGGCGTGAAGAATAACGTGAAAATAATGATTGCTGTAGAGAACGACCTAACATCGCCGACAATGAAAAGTAGTAACAAAAGACCCCTCTAGCAACCCTACCATCCAGTTTAGTTCCATCCGTGAAGAATTTCACTAAATAACTTTGGGCGAATTGCCCCATATCCTTCCAATAGCTCCCCAACAGCAGTATAAGGCATTTCGTGACCTTTCCTCGTTGTTTGGCTTCCACGACAACTTCCTTTCAAGGATCAAGCCCAACTGCTTGACCTTGTTAGAAAGCTGTATGTACAGACCTCTAACGTTCTGTCCTACAGAGATTGACGGCGAGGCCACTTTTGGCCGCCCTGATAGTAACTAGTATGTATGTTAAGATACCGTTGGGTTATTTCATAAAGCGTATCCAGGTATTTACCTTTAACCATAGCGGCAACATCGTCCGCGTGGGCAATTACCCGGCAGCCGTGTTTCTCCAGCTCCTCTAGTGGGGTGGCCCTATTTACGATGCGATGCAGGCAAGCGCTGCCACATATTGCCAACGAATGAGACTGTCTTCGAGCACAAGCTCATCCAACGACTTAACTATTGCCTCCGGCAGGATATTATTAAAATCCCCCACGATATCGACTTAAAGTCCTTTAAATCTTGAACACTTCTCAAAAGTCTCGAGACTATTACTTAACTACCAGAGCTTCATTTGTAGTCAAGTTTTTTCGCGCTTTCCAGCTTTTCGCTTTAAACGGAATCCCCTAATTGTCATTCTGTTTGCGTGCATTTATAAGAACAAGGTAATATGTATCTAATTTCCCTTGAAAATTAAAAGTTAATTCATATCGAACGTCTTCCACATTTATCCAGCCATCCATTAAGACTTAACTGCACAGTTTAGTGTTTAAATTATCTCTGGAAGTCAACGAGCCAAGCGTGGCAGGACAAACAATGAAAACTAAGTGATAAACCAAAGAAGCAATTGCTGCTGCCACCGCCACTGCCACTGCCGCTGTCACAGCTCCTGCTGTTGCTTCTTTGCATAATTGTTATTGTTCTAGCTGTGTGTACTTATGTAAATGCATAAGAGCAACAGCATGTTGACATTAGTATGTGTGCATATATGTATGTACATATGTATGTATATAAATACTTTAAGCGAAAGGCAACGGAATCAACGATTTATACCAGCATGCAACATTAGAAAGCGAAAGGATGCGAAGAAATAAATGTCTGCCGAAGAATAGAGACGTGTTCCTTTTGCGTCGGCCGAATATGTCGCTGGCAATATATAAGCGGCAACAGAATGCGTATGCGGCTCACTTGTATCTGGACTCCGTGGAAGGCAGCAGTAGTTCAAATCTACTAACTTACATACCTACCTACTTGTACTTGTGCAGTACTTATTGGCGGCAAAGGTGCAAAAGGATAATTTACATAAATTGTGGAAAGTGAATAAATTGAATTTGTGTACTTAGAAACTTGATGAAAAATAATAATGAAATATATTTTTGATTAAAAGTAAACACACATGCACATACATATGTATGTACACGCAAGCAAGCAACATCTAAGTGCATTGTTATGACAACAAGTGTTGAATGTGAGACGACGTTGCGTATGAGTGATGGCAGACGCAAATGTG